CAACAACAACAACAACAACAGGCCAACCAGCGCCTGCAGCATTTCGACTCGCCCTACCTCACCCTGGCCAAACGCACGCGGTTCGACTTCGCCCCCAACGGCGCCCACGGCGTGAACGTGGACCCCTGCCCTGCCTCGTCCCCCGCCCCGTGGAGTAACAGCAACCTGCACGCCACCGGCAACCCGGACCTGTCCTCCTCCTCGCCCTCCTCGGGTTACCCGGGGCTCCCCGGGGAGTACTCGCCCCCGGGACCCGAGGCCTTCCCGCCGCCCCCGGGGCCCCCACTCCAGCACCCGGGCCCCGATCAGCACTCCCACTCGCTCCAGCAGCGCCACAACATGCTGCTGATGTTCAAGCAGATGGTGTGCAGGAACCAGCAGCAGCAGCAACAACAACAACAGCAGCAGCAGCAGCAACAGCGCATGAGGCAGCCCGGCCTGCCAGGCCTAGGGTTAGGCCTGGGTCTAGGCCTGGGTCTCGGCCTCCCAGCCGAGGCCGGACCGGGCAGCCTCCTCCACGGGCACCCCGGGCAGGGCGGGTTCGAGCGAGAGGCCGGCGGAGGAGGGGGAGGCAGGATGCCCAGTTTCGAGGCCCAGATGGGGCAGGACCCGTCCCCCTGGTTCCCGGGCCCACACCCGCCGCCGGGCCCAGGGGACCTGCTGTCCCGCAGGAGCCTGTCGGCCGAAGGCAGCCCCCATGACTCGGTGCAGATGAGCCTGCAGCAGAACGGTTCGGGCCTGCTATACCGGGCGGCGGTGAGCGGCCTGTCCATGCAGGAACCCCTGCGGATGGCGGGCGACGGGCACGTCCAGGGCCTGCACTCCCCCGGCCTCCACCCCCAGTTCGTGGGCGGGGTGGTGGGGGGCGGCGGCGGCAACAGCAACAACATGGGGGGCGGCATGGCTCAGATGCAGTCCCCGGGCGGGGCCATGGCTCTGCCCAACCCCCCGCCCGACAGGCGGTCGGCCTCCGATTACCCCCCGCCTTCCCAGATGGGCGGGCAGCAGGCCTTTCCCTTCGTCGGAGGAGGCGGCTCGAGCCGGTCGGCCAACCCGCACGGCGGCGGGGGTCCCGGGGGCTACTCGGCCCAGGCCGACTTCCAGCCCAACCACCAGAGACCCTCCATGAGCAAGATCGGCTCCCTGTCGCTGGGCTCGTTCAGCAAGCCCGGCGCCAAGGACAACACCATGTACGGGCAGAGCTGCCTGGCCGCCCTGTCCACCGCCTGCCAGAACATGATCGCCAGCCTGGGAGCCCCCAACCTCAACGTCACCTTCAACAAGAAGGCCCCCAGCGAGGCCAAGCGCAAACTGAGCCAGACTGAGCCCGAGCTGGGCGGGGTTGGCAGCAACGGCAGCGGGCAGGAGTATTTCCAGAACAACGGCCCCCAAGGAGGGCAGCTGGGGTTGCCGGGCGTTGGCGGCACGAAGGGGCCCGCGGCGGGGAGCCAGGGCGGAGGGCAGGCCCAGAACCCCAACCCGAACCCGCCCTCCCAGCCCGAGTGTAACCTGTCGCCGAGCTACGGCCTGGAGCACGGCCCCGGGGGAGAGGGCAAGGGCCCGGCCGGCAGGGGCCGGGGCCGCAGGAAACGGGACAGCGGCCACGTCAGCCCTGGCATCTTCTTCGACAAGTACTCGGCGGAGAACGTGAACCCGGTGGTGAGCCCCGGGCAGCCCAGCGTGCACGTGTCCGAGCGCGGGGGCACCCCGCAGGACAAGGTGTCCCCCTCCTCCTGGGCCAAGGGCAGCGAGCTGCTGCTGTCGGACCAGCCGGACCTCATGTCCTCCCTGGACAGCGGCATCCAGAGCGTGACCAAATCGGACGGGAGCTCTCCGCACGTGGACTTCCCCGACGACGCCAGCAACCACTACGGGCACAAGGACGAGGCGTGCGGAGGTGGCTCCGACGGCAACCTGGCCAAGGCCGGCCGGCTGGTCACCAGCTCCCCCAAGCTGCAGCGCGCGGACCACGGACAGAAACAGCTGGGCCTGAGCATGCTCAACTCACACCCCAACAGCAACACTACCTCCAACGCAGGGCCCGGCGCCAACGGCTTTGGACTTAACAGCAGCGGCAGCGGGCACCCTGGCACCCCGGGGCTGGAGCAGGTCCGCACCCCCACCGGCACGGGCGGGCAGGACGAGATCCACCCGCTGGAGATTCTCCAGGCGCAGATCCAGCTGCAGAGGCAGCAGTTCAGCATCTCGGAGGACCAGCCCCTGGCCATGAAGAACAAGAAGGGCGGGGGCGAGTGCGGCGGGCAGAACGGAGGCGGCGGCGGCGGTGGCGGCGGTGGTGTAGGCGGGGGGGACTCGGAGCTGGCTGGCTGCAGCGCGGACAATGGCAAGGCCATCAGCACCATAGACATCGAGTCTCTGATGGCGGAACATAACTCTACCTGGTACCTGCCCAACGACAAGGCCATGATTGACCCGCAAGAGGAAGACAAGGAGATGGCACAGTGGGAGAAAGCCAAGTCTCAGAGCAGCAACAAAGAAGGTAAGGAATGTCTGGCCACACTGCTACAACCTTTACCCCCCCCCACCACCTCACCCACCCGCCTCTCTCTCTCCTCTCTGCCTTCTCTCTCTCTCTCTCTCTCTCTGCCCTTTCCTCCCAGGTACTTGCTTCACCGACATTGGTGTGAATATTGTTAAGCACTTGGGATCCAGAGAGAGAGAGAGAGAGAGGATAGGGAGAGGCGAATTGAGGCATCTCTCAGTACCTTAAAAGGACTTTAAAGCACTTCAGGAAGGAGAGTGATATGCAGACGGCATAATAACAGCGTTAAAAGTACGGCACCTTCATTCTCGTTAAAAAATCCTAACGAGATGTCGGTTTCAGTCGGCGTGTCGGTTGTTTTTTTTTATCTGGAACTCACTCCACTCCCAACTTAGATCATTTTACTTTGAACCAAAGCAAACAAATAAACAAAACAGCAAAAAAAAAGGGATTTTTCAACCTCGATTCAGTGCCTTTTTAAAGCGGTGGTTTTCTGCGAGACGAGAATGGACTTTCCTCCAGTCTTGACTCTTCCGAAACGAACGAGCGTGTGTGTTGAGTTTGGCGAAAAAAAAAAATATGGGCTCATTTATAACGGGACCGTAATGTAAGCGCTCAAGTGACTGCGCTTCCTCAGTTCTCCACGTCCCCCGCCCCAACCGCCCTACCATCGGTGGTCGGGCCTTCAGCCTCTCAGCCCCAAGGCTCTGGAACTCCATCCCCCAGTGCCTTCGCCGCCTCCTCCCTCTCCTCCTTCAAGGCCGGTCTCAAAACCTTTCTCTTTGACCGTGCCTTCAGCTCCCCTCTCGACTCTCTTCCCCCTCCTCGCTCCCTCCCTTCCCTCCCCTCACCCTGACCATTTCCCCCCTCCTCTCTCCCTCCCTTCCCTCCCCTCACCCTGACCATTTCCCCCCAATGCTCGGGTCCTGACCCAACTGTGCAGCGCCTTGGGACGTCCTCCTGACTTGAAAGCGCTTTATAAATGGAATCTTGTTGTTGTTGTTGTTGTTGTTGTTCTCCCCCTCGCTGGCTCACTCACACGCGGCGCGGGGTCGACCTGCTGGGACAGACTGGGTTTTCCCCGTGTGGTGACGGTGTTACGGCACCAACCCACCACCACCACCACCCCCCCACCCCCAAGCCAAGCCGGGCCAGGCCGGGCCAGGTCAGGTCAGGTCAGGCCAGAACCCTCACAGAATACAGTGAAGTGAAGTGTTGGCATTGCAGAGCTGCAGGATGTCAGGACAGTCAGTTGGGGGGTTACAGTCAGTGAGAGAGACTGGCACTGGGCGAGCATACCAGCGCTGGGTGTATTTACTGCAAAGCCGGGGAAAGGCACTGGGGTCTAATCAGTGAGACACATCCGTCGCTAAACGCCACCCACAGAACCCCCCGTCGCCAGATTAAACCTCTTGTCTTTTCGATGTCTTCTGTTTGTAAACTGCTGCCTTGCGCTCAGCTGAAGGCATTCAACTGCACGTACTTTCACTCCTCCAGAAATCCACTCGCTCTGCACAATCTGGCTATCCTGTGCCGTGTTTCACAGCATTTGAACAAAAAGAACGTCTTAATTCAATTCCCTCCTCCTCCTCAACTCCCCCCCCCCCCCCCCACCACAATTTTTTTACATATCTTTACCAATTTTGATACTGATACAAACTCAGTTCGGTTTCCCCAGGTTAGGCTGAGGCTCAGTCGCAGAGAGAGAGAGAGACAGACAACAGGTTCCTCAGCCCCCTTCGCTGTTCCTCAATCTCCTTTCTGCTCACAATGCAGTTTGCTTATTTCTCCTAATACATGGAGCTCTCTCCGTGTCCCTCTCTCTCTATGTCTCTCTCTGTCTCTGCCTCCCTCCCTTGGCTTCTCCCACGGTTTGGGAGCAAGGAGTGGAGGGGATGGGGTAGGGGTTTAGGAACAGAAAGACTGTATAACGCGAGCCCTGACATTACTGCCTGTGTGTGTGTGTGCGTGTGTGTGTGTGTGTGTGAGGTATAGTCCCGCTGCTGGTTCCTTTGTTCTATTTAATGCTCAGTGGAGGACAGCTTGGAATTGCAACGGAGGGTGTTTAGCATTCAAGGCTTGTGTTGTATAGGCAGTGTATCAACATTCACTGAGCTCCGCTCCGCTAAGGACATAAATTGGTTTATTCAGAAGCTTCTTTCCATTTTTAAATGCAGTTGCTCAGTGTCCTTCCTGCCCTCATGTTCTGCACAGTTAAGGGCAGCAGATCAATAGCTAGTTAGCAGCCAGGAAGAGCTGCTACAGCTGTGTGCTGAGCCAGAATATTTGAAATAAACCTTCATCATGTAGACTTATTGACCTGCAACATGCACAGAGCTGTTCCTTTGCTCCTGATGAACGGCTTTGTTGTGCCCTGTTCCACCGCTTTTTTTTTCTCTCGCTCTCCTAGATCTTATAATGCCCGTTTTCATATTCACACACTCATCTCTCTCACGCTCCCCTCATCTCGCACACAGACGGATCACTCACACTTTTTCTTTGGAATTGAAAAGCACTTTGCAGTCATTTTTCTTTTTTTTTAAAAAACAAAAAGAGACGTATCGAGAGGCAATGCCGGGAGAACAGAACGGAAGACGTACAGGAATATCTCATTTTTTACTTGTGTTAAATATATTTTCGCATGCATGCACGCAGACAGCAAGTTCTCATTCACACACCACAGGTTTGGCACTTTCTTTCTCTCTCTCACACACACACACAGTTCTATTCAGTTGTGCACTCACATTCAACAAAATAGTCTAAAATGTTAGGGGGGAAAATGCAATGTTACAGTTTGTGGGACATTGCTTTGTGCAAATTGGGTGCCGTGTTTGCCTACAAGTTCAAAGCCATTTACACTTATACAATATATTATGTCCTTTGAAAGGCTTTGAGCCGTCTCCCGACACGATACGCGAGGCGTTATATCAAATATCAAGGACGATTTCATCAGAATTGTCACCCGTGACAATTATCGCATGACATAACCATGTTTTTGGTCATGCCATCACACTCTGCCTCCGTGTCACAGACATGTACACTTACAGGTGACACGCACACCAGGATAGAGTCATTTGAGCCTGCACGCCGCAGACATTCACATACACGTGCCATAAACACCATGATTTGTTTGTGTTTCACACGCATTTTACACACAATACGCTCTCACATACACTTCCAAGAAACACAAATATAATGACTTGCAATTATGTAGCATCCTTTGCGTCAAATAAATACCTGGAAGCCCTTTTCTAAATATAATAATTATAATAATCAATAATAATCTTTACATTTATAGATAACACATTTAACGGCACGGTGTGGGGGGGGGGGGGTGAGGTGTCTGAAAGCCTTGGCATTGCTCTCAAAGACACTCCTCCGTTCACTGACCAATTTAGTTGCCGATTATTTTAACGTAAAGCGCTTTTAAATTCACATTTTTTTAAAGAAAAATCCCAAAGCAGGACAAAAAAAACAATAAAACACGTGTTCGCTCCGGGTAGTCATCCGAATCTCTTTGTTTTTTTTTAAACTTTTTTTTTTCGGTGGGCGGGTGCGGGTGGGTTGTTAGCAAAAGATTCTTTAGAGGAAAGTTAGCATTGCGGAAATGCGATAGTAAAAATAAAACGATGATAATGATAATGATAATAATAATACAGGAAGGCTAGGCTCTACAGTACCCGCTCGCGACTAAAAGGGACTTCAGTCTCTACGCAAGCACTTGATCCAGGGACGAAGACTGCTGGTGCATCTTATATCCGTGCCGTCTTTGCCGGGAGATATTTTACATACCCATGCAGCGAGGTAACGGACACTGTATAAATGACTGAGCTTGCCTGAGGGAAGTGAAGCACAAAATGCCATGCGAGCCAGTGTGACAGAAAGATACGTTAGCGTTTGAGGGAACCATGGCATTAGGAACCACAGAAAATACATCCTGTCCCAACCAGGTAACGGCTGCATCAGCGACTGATTAGTGTTTGCCAATTCTTATGGTCTTCAGTATTTACAAGCTACCTTGTTTCTTACACTGCATATCGTGAAACAAAAGCTTATTTGTTTGACATGCCCTGCAATAATAATAATAAAATAATAATAATAATCCTTGCACTTGATACGGCGCCTTATCACGTCTTTGAGAGGTCCCAAAGCGCTCCGCGGAATATACTGTAAAGTGAATTGACTGGGTACGTTGTGGGCAAACCGTGGCAGCCAATTGCGCACAGCAGGTTCCAAGTCAAGTTACCGTAGTTGTGTAAAATGAGAGAGATGTTTTATTTTATTTACGATTTTAAGTGTCTCTCTTCAGACCTCTGTACCATCCAAGGAACTATCAAACCTGGTGGCAGGTTGCCTGGTATCACATGTCCTTTCTGTCTGGACTTGGGTGTGGGCTGGTCTGACTTTTACAAACACGAGTGATTGTAACACTCGTACCTTAGCCCACGTGAACACTGTTGTTGAATCGAATCCCTTCTCTGAACACACAGTGAGCGAGGGACGATATTAATTCTCGAATTTGATATGGCATCTCATCAAAACGTCTCAAAAGTGCTTCGCATTTTTTCTGGAAAGTGTAGATTTTCTATAAAATATTCTGTAATTTATAGGAAATTTAGCAGCCAACATATGCCCACAGCAAGTCCCACCAAGTAAACAACCAGGTGTGTTTTTTTTTACCTGGAGAATTGTTGGCCAGGGTGGGGGTGGGGGTGTGGGTGGGGGAATCTCTTCTCTTCACAAATAATGCCATGAGATCTTTAACTTTCACCTGAACCAGGAAGATACCGCCCTCTGCACTGCTCTGAATGTCAGCCTCGAATGGGGGTTAACATCCCAGATGTTTGGGTGAGACAGACGGGCAGTGGTCTGCTACCAACCACCGGCAACGGGCATCGTTGAGGAATCTTTGGTTGTTGTTTTTGTAACGTATATGTTTTTCAACGTGTCAGATTTTCAGCAGGAGGGGAAAGAGTCGGAGATGGTTGTTGTTGTAA